GAGAGAGAGAGAGAGAGAGAGAGAGAGAGAGAGAGAGAGAGAGAGACAGAGTTTTCCATCGAGGGGGCAGGAGGTCCAAGGAGGGGGAGGAGTGGGTCGTGCAAATGGGGATGAGAGGTTGAAGGGGGTCGTGCGGGAGGGAGAGGAGGTCGCACCGGTGGGAGGAGGAGATCCTGCTAGGGGGAGTAGTTTGTGCCAACGGGAGGAGGGGGCCACCAGGGAGGACGAGGAGGTTGCGAGGTCGCACAAGGGGGACGAAGTGTGAAAAAAAAAAAAAAAAAAAAAAAAAGAGAGAGAGAGAGAGAGAGAGAGAGAGAGTCTCCTTTTTTTGTGGGGGGGGGTGTAATTTTCCAAATACCCCCATAAGTTGAGACATATGTCAAAATGTCCCTTTAAAGATATGGGCACAGGAGAATGGCGTTTTGGGCTGACATGTTTGAGTTATGTTCCTGTCAGGTGGCTGTGCAAATCCGTTTGGCGGCCTTGGCCTTTTGCAATTGCACCTACGAAAACTTGGCAACTGCCGGGGCATTTTGCGAAGTTGGGCAGCGTCCAGTACGGGTACATTGCAAAGATGGAGTCCAATTGATGGCTGGGGTGTTTTGCAATATGTTTTTGTCACCATCCTTCGCCGCAACGTAGCTGCGGAGGGTCCACTTGTTGTTCCAAAGGGAAATGGTGAGCTCGGGATGTGAATTGACTGCAGAGGCCTGAACAAGATCACTAGGAAGAGCTCTGAGCCCTTGCCTAGGATCGATGACTTGTTGGACATGGTGCAAGGCTGCAAAGTATTCAGCAAAATCGATCTGAAATCCGGGTATCAGTTGAGGGGTCATTCATGCATGTTGTGTAGACTACGTAGAGTATTGAGGAACCTTTCAACGTTTTCGGCATATCCTCCACTTCTAAATTTTCAGGTAGTTGAGGGGTCATGGTTGTATAGAGTGTTGATGAGTCTTTCAACGTGTTCAATATACCCACCACTTCATAATTTTCAAAGTATGTCTAAATGTCCACACCTTTGACCGCATGTGTGGAAGTGACAACCTCTTAGTTGCCTACATAAGTCTGCCAAGGGTTCTGCAACTCCACTTGCTTTATCCCCAAGCCCGACTTACGAAGTCCGTTGGTAGAAAGGAAATTGGTTGTTTAGCCACAATCAATCAGCACACGGATTTATGGCGGTTGATGAGAAGTTGGAATAAGATGTAGTTCGCTGTCTGCCATACAAAACCCGTTGGAAGAAAGGAAATTGGATGTTTAGCCACAATCAATCAGCCCATGGATGTAACGGCAGTTGATGAGAAGTTTGAAGAAGATCTACTTCGCTGTCCCTTGAGCACAACTTCGCTTCTCAGCCCAATGCTGCAAGTGATAGTGGAAGTCAATCTTATTAGACTCCTCCCAAGGCTCGACGTATAGGACTGGAGCTGCATCAGCCTTGGAATCAGCACAATGCAGCCAAACCTTCCTCTTGAGCCTATTCTTCCATCCATTCTCACTGATCCGGAGGTCCAACCAAGGTTTGGTTGACGCATCCTTTGAACTAGATGGCATCTTGGCTCCTTCGGGGAGTTGAATTGTGTTCTTCATTGAGTTTCGGTTTAGTCCCCTGTTTGTAATGGCAGCCTTTGTTTAAGAGCAGGCCCTCAGAGGGAGGAATAAGACCAGGAAACAGGGCCAGTTTAACAGTGAAATCGACAAGGGTCTGATTTGACAGTTAATCCTTCCGATGGCAGGCAATCAATGCTGTGAATCAGGACAAGTAAACAAAAACCGAACATTTAGACAGCAAGGATATAAGACTTTTAAGTGGGGACGGGATAGGTGGACTAGAAGCAGGGGTGAGCAGTGGAAATCCTCCTAGAAGTAGGAGCAATCAATGTTGCTGTCTAGCGTCAGGTGATTAAATGATGTAAGGGATGCTGGGCCCATTTTCCAGTTATAATTCAAAGGACTACTCTTTCTGCAATAACCCGTTCATTATGCCTTGTTGAATGTTTAAGGGGCCCATAGGCCGCGACCCCAGTTTCTGGCTGTGAGGTCGAAGGGGCAAAGACCCTCCGAAATGGCCCAGGGCCTGAGCGCCCGACAGTTCACTTCAGTCAACTGCCTGAGGCCCAACATTCAAAGTCAATACGGACCCAGCCCAGGCCGCCGGTCAGAAGCACCCACTTGTTTGTATGCAGGTACCAAGACAGCATTCAGACCAAGTGGAAGTCTGCAACTGTATGCAATCCAGGCCCTCGGCTGTGAATCAATCTGAGCCACCGCGAGTGGGAGACCTGAGGAAGGTCAACTCGGTCTATCACTACTTAAGATCCTGCCTCCAGGGAGTCAACAATCAGTCTTGCTATGCTGCCTTGACACTGGCTTGACACTAGCTGGACGCTGGCTTGACGCTGGCTGTGCGCTGGCACTGTGGTCGACAACGCGGGACTGAGGCAGCACGCTGGCGCCTTCTTTGCAGAACGCCAGCCTCTGCTGAGGTGGCGCATGCCACTTGTCTTCATTGCTGATGTGGCGCATGCCACCTGTCTTTATCACTGATGTGGCATTGGCCACGCTGTCTACATTGGGTGACTGGTCGCGACAAGGAGGGAGATCGGGATCTGTGGATGATTGATCAGGATCGGGATACTTACCTGAGGTCGATGTCGATACTGTTCGCTGATGGTTGTCTCCAACGTCTGCACGAGAGATCAGTGCCACGTGGCACCTCGATGTGATCATGACCTCTCAGGCTCGTTACTGGATACTGTTTTGTTGACAACGAGGCAAGGGGAAGCCCGGAGAAGGAGCGGGAAATGTTGGGCTACTCTCTTGGTGGTCATTGATGTTACTATCTCTCCCACCTTCTAATCTGTCCATTCCCCCTCCACTCTCTTCATCCTCTGGAAACGAGACATTGTCTCAGATATCACATTCATGATTATTGGAGACATTGTTCAGATCTGAGTTATCTTGTATTTCGACGTCCAGCGAGTATCTTCCAGTCTGGGTTCATTGCACTTTCTGTTAAAACCAAAACAAAAAAAAGTCTAATGCCTCAGGCATGTCTGTCTATGTGTGTGCGCGTGCATGCTTGTCCACTCACTCACAAATGTCTCTGTGTGTGGGTTCATTGCACTTTCTGTTAATACCAAAACAAAAAAAAGTATAATGCCTCGGGCATGTGTGTGTATGTGTGTGCGCGTGCATGCTTGTCCACGCACTCACAAATGTCTCTGTATGTGCAATGCATGTGGCATGTGTGTGATGGTCATGGTTTGGTCAGATAGTGGACAGAATGGATGCAAAGGCTGAAGCAGATGCTCGAGGGGATGTTGAATTTCGGGATGTGAGCTTTCGTTACTGTGACGGAGGTCCATGGGCATTGAAGAATGTGTCGTTTCAAGCAAAAGAAGGCAAGACCATTGCCATAGTGGGGCCATCTGGTGGTGGGAAAACAACACTAGCGAAGATGCTTTTGCGACTATATGACCCCCAAGCAGGTTAGTTCAACATCCCCTTGCTGTTATCACTTGATTGGTACTTTTTCTCTTTCTGTGATTGCTGTTATCACTTGATTTAGAACATTACTTGAATTATGCCATCAGGAACATTACCCTGGTTCACCATGCACAGCTGCAAAGTTCTACCCGGTCAGACCACTGGTCCTTACTCATGTTGGCTCATGAGCCATCAAAAGTACATTTCCGCATTGTCACCAGTGCAATCTATCTTATCTGTGAGAAAAGATAGAAAGACAGGAATCTGGCTCCATTACATTTTTTCTCCTCCAGGAGAAAAGAACAAAGGAAGGAAGGAACTCAGTTCAAAATCCGCACAAGTCAAGGGCAGGGTCATAACTTTGGGTCAAAGGCCAGAAAGAGGGGTCAAAAGTCGCGTCCTGAGTCCATCTGTGGTCTGAGGAAGTCCTTAGGGTCAAGGGGTACTAGGCCCCGAGTCAAACGTTCCGTCCAGTACCCCCACGCTGTACAGTTGACTCATGGAAAATCAAGAGTTACTGGACGGGAAATGCAGGCCAATCAGACTCCCTCTCATTCACACTTTACATGTATGCAAACAGGCGCAGCAGCAAATTGGCGACAAGCGCCCACTCAGAACTCAGAGATATGGTCGCCGGAAACACAGTCCAGATACAAGTTCACTTTCGATGGCTATGGCGACTCAGCGCCCAAACAACTCACTGTTCGCATGCACCGGATCACCCTGGATATCCCACACGCGATACTCTGCACTTACACACACACACACACACACTACACACTAACTCTAGCTATGGCGGCTATGGCCGCTTCTACCCTATCRCTATGCTACGCTCCTTCTCTCTCGCCCACTTCAGCTCCGGGCTCACTGCAGACCTCCTTGCACAAGTCGCTGTGGCAGCRCTTCCGCATGGCTCACGCAGGAATGAATGAATGACTGGSCRCTGCCTCTTGATTTATACTTCTGAAGCTCGTTGGTCTGCCCTTTTCCATCGGCCCATGGTGCTCACAGTCCCTCGTGGTACTTGCTGGACCGGACTGGGACTGACTGGACCTTACCGCTGACTGAATGGGGACTCACTGCTATCCTACCGCTATCGTACTGCGAACGTACTGCAGTTGGTCAACCACTTGCCCACTTGCCCACGTGATCGACCTTCTAGAAGGACTACAGCTAAGACTTTTGGAACTCACTAAGACTTCTATTCTACAGATCTACAGATCGGACCCCTGCTACCTACGGACCCTACGACAGTCTACTAACTGTTGCAAATACACAGGTCAAGGGCTAGGGATTGAGCCCTGGGGTCTGCATCTGCTACTGAAAAAGGTGAAAACCGTTTCACTCCCGCCGTCCTAAAGTCGAGGTCCTCCGAGAATATTTCAGTCCAAGGCAGGACCTTTACCCTTCTTACCACGCTCGTAGGCTCTGACTATGTCGGGAGCTGTTTCTAGAAGTTCTGTCCTAGTAGACCAGCGGTCCTCTTCCGGTTCCTGATAAGCAAACCGGACCTTATACTGTTTCTGTGGACGACCTCTACCTCCTGTTCTAAACACATCTTCACCTACAATGCCGTCAATGTCATATCTTCCATCCATATCCGGGGGGATCATGGAACTTCTTGAAGGGAACTGTTGACTTGTGACACACGGCAACAGCTTTGAAGCATGGAACAGCGGGTAGGTGTGGAGGTGTGCTGGAATCTCTATTGTAGGACGGTCCATCCTCTCCGCCCTTGACTTCTAGAACCGGCCACGGTCCTCTAATGCAGGCAGTAACTTCTGCGAGATGTTCTCCTCAGGTGCAAACTCTTTAGACTTGACCCAGGTGCTTATTAGCCTGTTCTATCATGCGGTGTTGGGCCTTCCTGAGGTTCTCAACAACAGTTGCTAGCTCTCTCTCGTGCTGTATCGCGAACTCCTTGGTACCGGGTGGTAGTCTGTGAATCTGATCCCTGGTAAGTCCTTCAAATGGTCTGCAGGGTCTAAAGGACTTGTGTAGCTCGTTGGGAGTGGGACAGGTAGACAAATGCATGCTGTTATTATATGTGCTGGCTACCTTGGGCAACATCTCGTCCCAATTGACTTCATCCGATGTAATATACATGCGCAGAACTTGCTGCAGGATCTTGTTCATCTGTTCTGTCTGACCGTTAGTCTCTGGATGACGGCCTGATGACATCAGCAACTTTGATCCATAGACTCTCATTAGTTCCTGCCAGTTCTGGCTGGTGAAGCGGGTGTCTCTATCGCTAACAATAGACAAAGGAACCCCGTGATCACTAATCCAATGATAAAAAAACTTCTGAATGACTAATTTTGTATGTGCCTATGCAGGCAAAGGAACAAAAACTGCATATTTACTGAATCTATCAACTACAACCATGACTTGGCTCTTGCCGTGCCGACTCTTGACACTGACGTCCATAAAGTCGATGGAGACTGAATCTCCAGGTTGGTCTGGGATAGGCAAGGGTCTGAGAAGACCTAGAGGGGCAAGCGTAGTGGTCTTGTTCCTCTGGCAAACTTTGCAACTGCGAACATACTCTATGCAGTCAGCTTTCATTCCTGGCCAGGTATACGCACGCATCAGATTGGCTAAAGTCTTTTGCCAACCGAGGTGTCCCTCTGTGTCGTGGCATTCCCCTAAGATCAGACTACGGGTCTCTTCACTGTTGGGAATGCACAGGCGGTCTACTACATTAGTCTTCTCAAACAATAGTCCTTCAGTAGTGCGGTAGTCTGGTTCGGTCTCTGGGGCCTCCTTAATTCTCTTGAGGAGGTCACTATAGATAGGGTCCTGCGCATATGCCTGTCGGACTTTCTCTTGCAGGTCCTTTCCTATGTCCAGATAGTGCACTATAGCTCCAAAGTAGTCTGATCTCCTCCTCAGAGCATCCGCAACTACATTGTGCTTGCCTTTGACCGGTTTGAGCTCAAAGTCATACTGGTCTATCTCAGCGGCCCACCTAGTCAACTTAGGTGTCACTTTGGCCTGGGTCTTTAACTATCTAAGAGTTTCGTGGTCTGAGTATACTTTGAAGTGCCTTCCAAGCAGGTAATGCTTCCAGTGGCCCGCCTGAGAGCGTAGAGTTCCTCGTACGTCGAGGTGGCTACCTTCTCTGAGGGCATCCTCGCTGACATGAACTCTACGGGTCTATAGCCATTGTCGTCGTCTTGCTGCAACACGGCGCCTATACCATACTGACTTGTGTCCGTGGTGAGGACAAATGGCAAGGACGGATCTGCTACCTTGAGGACATGATACTCTATTAACGCGCGCTTCAGTCTCTTTAGCGCAGACGTACAGTCTTTATCCCACTGCCAGATTGCCTCTTTCCTTAGCAACCTGCGCAAGGGAGCGGCGATAGTGGAGAAGTTCCTTACGAACGTCCTATAGTAATTAGCTAGGCCTAGGAACGACCGCAATTCAGTCAATGTGCGGGGCGTTGGCCAGTCTCTAATTGCCGCTATCTTGCTGTCCTCAGGCTTAATGCCATCTCCGTCCAACACGTGACCCAAGTACAAAAATTGTGTCTTGGCCCACTCATACTTCTTCGGGTTGATCTTGAAGTTAGCCTCCCTTAGCTTCTCCAAGACCTGCCTCAAATGACCCTGATGCTCTTGGAGGGTCCTGCTGAATACTAATATATCATCTAAATAGACTACTACAAACTTATCTAACCATGGTCTGAACAAATCATTCATACAACGCTGAAATGTAGTTGGCGCGTTGGTTAGTCCAAAGGGCATCACTATAAACTCGTAATGCCCATAACAAGTCCCGAACGCAGTCTTGTACTGATCATCAGGATGGACCTCTATCTGATAATAACTGGGCTTCAAATCTATCTTTGAGAAATATTTGCAACCCTGCACCCGATCTAAAAGATCGTCTATCCTGGACAGTGGTTCAACATTCTTTACGGTGATGGCATTCAACCCCCTATAGTCTATGCACATACGTAGCTCTCCCTCCTTTTTGGGGACAAACAGAACAGGTGCTCCAAAAGGAGACGAACTGGGCCTGATCCAACCTTTCTCCAGGAGCTCGTCCAACTGCTTACGTAGCTCCTCTAACTCTCTAGGGGACATCCTGTTGACTGCTCCCTTAGGAGTTCTACTACCAGGCTCTATCTCTATCCTGTGCTGGATGGGTCGCGACACGACTCCTGTCGGCGACTCGGTCAAATCTTTGAATTCCTCCAGCAGCTTGGCAATAGCTGGATCCGTGGAACTATCCCCTTCCTTAGGCTCAGTGACAGGTCTGACATATACTACAAGGACCTGATCCTGTAGCTGCTCCTTTTTCACTAGTCGCGCGGACGCAGGAGCACTGAGACAACAATGTGCCAAAGTGTTGTCTACACCTGACACATGAAACAGGCGGGCAGTCTTAACCTTGCCTGATGGACTAGGGAGCCTACACTCATGTTCTCTTAAGTGGAGTGTGGCCCCTGCTGCCTCTCCCCAATCCATTCCTAACACTATGTCGAAACGGAGGTCATCCTGAACGAGGAGAGTCAGGGAATGGAGAACTTTCTCCACCCTCCCATCTTTCTCTAGGCGAAAATACGCCTGGACTCCCTCTACATAGTCCTCAACACGCATAGTGCGGTTGTCTGCGAGGACACTCACTATGGGGTCTACCAACTTCTGGACTTACAATCCTAGCCTTAGCTTTTTCAACGCTCTACGGCTAATGTAACTACGGGTAGCCACTGAATCTATAGGGGCCCCTACTCTATTCTTGAACACTTCTACATCAACTAAGATTAGTTGTCCCTTACTCTCTTTCTTCTTTTGGCCCAGGCAGGCATTCTCTCCTTCAACTCTTCTGCCGCGCCTGTCAGGGAAGTGCCTAGGGAGACGCTAACACAAGCAGTCTCTGGACAGCTAGCTAGGCACTGGCCTGCAACCTCTGCCATAGGCTCATGTGATGTGGAAGTTTCCTGTACACGCGCGCTCGCTTCCACACATGGCCTTGAAGTAGGGGCAGTTGCGACCCCTACTGGCGGCTGCCTTTTGACTGCTGGGCAGCCCATCGGGCCTGTCTATACTTAGGACATAATTTAATTACATGGGCCGGGTCACCACAAAACACGCACTGACCGAAGTCCACACGTTCCTGCCAGACGGGCTGGTCCAAACACAAATCTTCCCAAGGCCTACCTTGTGGCAAGCCTGGGTGCCATCCTCCTGTCTGTTGAGGTGGCCTTCCTCCTCGTCGTTGTGGGGACCGACTAGAACCCTGGCGGTTCAGCAGGGGACCTTGACCCCTACCTCCCACTTGGCGGTTCCCTTGTCCGCCAACCCCCTGTGCACCCGATCCTCGGCCTCCGATGGCCTGGCCCCTTTGGCCCTGGCCTCCTCCTCTACCTTGCGGCCTCTCTCCAACCGCGAGAGCCTCATAGGACCTCCCCTGCCCTACGTTGCTGTCCTCTTCCTCTAACCCCCACTCATTCTCACTGTAGGGGACTTCATCAGTACCACCTTCTTCTAAAGTAAGGATCATGTGATCCTTGGCCCTGACTTGGCCAGAGATGGTACGCCCTTTACACTTCTTCCCTTTATCCAAGTCCTTATGCAAGAAAGTGGAAACTGGCATGGACTTTGACTCAAACAGGACCACCTTTCTACTTAGCACATCATAGGTGATGTCGGCCTGTTGAGATTTGTCAAAGAAATGCCCACGCAGGGGCTCGGGCATGGCACGATAGAGCAATTGGACCAATTGGGTCTCAGTGACCCCATGGTCCGGGACGGCTACCAAGTCGTCCATGACCCCCTTGATTGCTCTTGNCATGGCACGATAGAGCAATTGGACCAATTGGGTCTCAGTGACCCCATGGTCCGGGACGGCTACCAAGTCGTCCATGACCCCCTTGATTGCTCTTGCACTCCTCCACTCTCTTGGGTGGATAGTTTGTAACTTGTTAGAGGCTCTAACACCTCTCAATGGATCAACAAATCTCTCCCTCAGGAGTTTTAAGAATTGAGGAAGGGGGGTGATCTTAGAATATGCAACCAGGTTGTTTTCACAACCGGCTGCGCGRGCAAGGGATCTGGCAAAGCTAGCCGCTTCGTCCTTGAGGGCCTGGAAGGCAACGAGGACTTGCTCCTCAGTCAAGATGTCCTGTAAGTATATATAGCTATTGGCGCTCGCCTCCCAGTTATCGAAATTCTCCTCCTTCTTCCCGCCATATACGTTTGGGAACTTGAGCTTGACGGGCTCTTTACGAGGTCTGGCCTCGCTCTCAACAGTGGCTACCGCTTTGGCACTCTCAATAGCGCCCTCACAAAACTTTCCCACGTTGTCGCTCAACCGTCTGACTTCGCCCCCAACGTGGGTGACCATATCGAGCGCAAAATCCCGAAATCCTGACCCCATGGCCTTCAGGGCCACATCGTGACCCCAGTTGGCTTGGCGCTCCTCCATCCAAACCGCACTAAACACTTCCAAGTATCCCAGCATCTTATCCATTTTGGCAGACATGTCTGTCCGCGCCTGCACTTCTTGTCTACAATCCCTCACTTTTGCCACTTCTGCGGTCAACCTGTTAACTTCCTCCCTCCTCCTCTTCTTTTTTCTCTTCATCCTCAGCTTCCATTCCAACTTCTTCTCCTCCTCTACTTCTTGCCTTTCCAGGGTCTCGATTGCTGCTAGCTCACTGGCTAACGCATCCCTCTCGTACTGGGGCACATACCTCCTCATCTTCCCCCAACGATAAATTAGCAATCCACTCGTTGATCTTTTTCTCGATGGCTGCATCCTCATTTGCCGTGCCACTACTTTCCCCTTTTACCTCGCTGCGTTTTCTCTCCTCTCTTGCCTCTGCTGCTGCTTCTTCCTCGGCAGCCTTTTTCTTCTCCTCCATCTCCTCCTCCAACTTCTTCATCGCCGCCTGCTCCTCTGCGATAGCTTTCAGCTTCGCCTGCTTCAGGAGCTCTTTTCTCTCCTTATTTTCTCTCACTAGGGCGGCCATCTTTTCTTGCTGTTCCTGGGTGTAAGGGCTAGTGCTCTTCCCACTCCGGATGTCAACCATGGTGATAAGTGCACAACCGGATTAGCGGTTTCAAACCTCACCACTTAGACTCACAGAATCCGAACAGGGATCCTGCCAACTAGGGTCTCTAGCCTAGACCTACACTATGGCTGTCACTGCTAGACCTGTTGCTGATCAGGAGGCATTTAAGGAGATCCCCCGTAACTCCTCAGGAATTATTTAACGTTGCAGACAGGACGACGCGATCAGCAGGTCTCTCAACACTTAGACTGCTTCAGGAGCTCTTTTCTCTTCTTATTTTCTCTCACTAGGGCGGCCATCTTCTCTTGTTGTTCCTGGGTGTAAGGGCTAGTGCTCTTCCCACTCCGGGTGTCAACCAAGGTGATAAGTGCACAACCGGATTAGCGGTTTCTAACCCCTGACTGACAACTTACTGACTCGATCTAAGACTCACAGAATCCGGACAGGGATCCTGCCAACTAGGGTCTGCAGCCTAGACCTACACTATGGCTGTCACTACTAGACCTATTGCTGATCAGGAGGCATTTAAGGAGATCCCCCGTAACTCCTCCGGAATTATTTAACGTCGCAGACCGGACGACGCGATCAGCAGGTCTCTCAACAATTAGACTGCCTGTTGCGCAGCCCACAACTCAGCCTTTCGGGCCTACCGTGCCACACCGAGCAGCCCGCTGGTCTGTACCGGTCCTTGGGAGGGTTAGGCCTCCGGGACAGTCGAGTCGTCAGACACAGTCTTTGGCCCTACTTGGTCCGACAGGGGTTTGGTCAACAAGGCCTATCCTTCATCCACAGAGTACTATCACCTGGACAGAAGAGACTCGATGCAGAAAGAAGAGACAGACAGACTAGAACTCAGCAAGTACCACAGGGTGTGTGCTCATCCATAGGGCGAGGGATAGGCTGAAGGCTTGACGAGATTATCCCGGCTCCAGCTTGGTCAACGACTTAGTCAAGGCTTGGTCAACGCTCCAGTCAACTCTCGGTCAACCAGTCAACACCTCCGGTCAACTCCCCGTCAACGCCGGTCAACCCTGGTCAACGCCTCCGGTCAGCTATGGCTGCCGGCTTCTCTTTCCCTCACCAACCTTCTCCTCACCTCGCCTCTTCCTTCTTTTCACCCCGGCTGTCTGCTTTCTCTTTTTTTTTTTTTTTTTTTTTTCCCTTTGATCGTCTCTCCCTTCACCTCTCAGGGCTATGGCTTCCCTCACTTTGCTCGGTCTCTTCCTCTTTGTCCCTCTTCACCTCCCTCCTTCGTCTCTCCGTGGTCAAACTCCACGGCTATGGCCGCAATCTTCTTCTTCGTGGGACTGCGCAGCAACTTGTATCGCTCATCTCTCTCTCTCTCTCTCTCTCTCTCTCTCTCTCTCTCTCTCTCTCTCTCTCT